ATGGATGAATACTATGAAATCCTGGGAGTTGTAGTTTTGCAAAAGCTTGAGCTTTCTCTCGGTGCATCAACACCATAAAATTAATGCAATTTGACTCCACTTTTATGGATTAATACTATAAAATCCTGAGAGTTGTAGCTTTGCAAAAGCTTGAGCTTTCTCCGGGTGCATCGATACTGCAAACTGAATGCTGTTTTACTCCACTTTAATAGCCATGGCCAAATGCTATGAAATCCTGGGAGTTATAGTTTTACAAGGTCTTTCGCCTTCTCTGGGTGCATCTACACTGTAGAATGAATGCCATTCGACTCCACTTCAATTGTTAATGTTATGGAATCCTGGGAGTTGTAGTTTTGCAAAGGCTTGAGTCTTCTCTGGGTACCTCTACACTGCAAAATTAATGAAGTTTGACTCCACTTTAATAGCCATTTCTGAATGCTATGGAATCCCAAGATGTTGAGAAGGTGAAAGGTTTTGCAAAAGTGCCACTCATAGGATTTGATAGCACTGAATTTAAAAGTGGTGTCAAACTTCATTCCCTGTGCAGTGTAAACTCTTCCAACTTTCTTGGAAGTGCAATCCAAGAGGGAAACTCACACCCAGAAAACCCCAGATGTCCAAAATGACACTCTTCCTTTTTTCTATTGGTACAAAATACTCCTTGTTGGCAGGACAGGTCACGCACGCGCCTTTTGCATTGGGAACAGGGCGGGTGTCAAGGGCTGGAAAGGCTGGCAAGCTAAGATATGGAGATATATATATATACACACACATACACAGAGAGTCGTATTTATATAGACACATACAGGCATACACAATGTAGGGTTTCAGGTCTGGCTAAGACGGAAAGCAGGGCTACTATTGACTCTTTTCCCTCCCCCAAAGTGCAACAATAACTGCTAGGACTGGAAGGGGCACCCAAAGGCCATCTAGTCCAATCCCTGGCAGGCAGGAAAACTCAACTGAAACACTCCTAGAATAATAATTATCATCAACACCATCATCATAGTTTATGTATCAGATCTGGTCAAGACCGAAAGTGGGATTTCCATGTACTCCTTTCCCCCAAAATGCAAGCTGGAAGGGGCTCCAAAGGCCATCTAGTCCAACCCCTGGTAAGCAGGAAAATTCAACTGAAACACTCTTAGAATCACCATCACCATCATCACAATTTATGTGTGAGGGTTGGCCCAAGTGGGATTTCTATTTACTCCTTTCCCTCAAAGGGCAAGCTGGAAGGGGCCCCAAAGGCCATCTAGTCCAACCCTCTGGCAAGCAGGCAGAATACAACTGGAACACTCATGAAAATAAATAATAATAATAATAATAATCATCATCATCATCATCATCATCATCATCACAATTTATGTGTCTGGGCTGGCCAAGACTAAAAGTGGGATTTCTATTTATTCCTTTCCCTCAAAGGGCAAGCTGAAAAGGGCCCCAAAGGCCATCTAGTCCAACCCTCTYGCAGGCAGGCAGAATACAACCAGAACACTCATGAAAATAATAATAATKATKATKATKATCATCATCATCATCATCATCATCATCATCATCATCATCATACACACACACAGTTTAGGTTCCAAGGCTGGAGAAGACCAGAGTMGGATTATTATTTACTCCTTTCCCCCAAAATGCAAGCTGGAAGGGACCCTAAAGGACATCTAGTCCAACCCTCATGGCATGCAGCAACAAAAAACAACACAACCGATGTACAACACAATGTAACAACACAACACAATGTAATAATAATCATAACGACAATAACAGAAATAACAACATRCTGCTCTCCTTCTGAAAAGTTGCTATCATCATCATTACCATCATCATCATCATCATCATCATCATCATCACAATTCATGTATCAGGGCTGGTCAAGACCAAAAGTGGGATTTCCATTTACTCCTTTTCCCCAAAATGCAAGCTGGAAGGGGCTCCAAAGGCCAACTAGTCCAACTCCTGGCAGGCAGGAAAATTCAACTGAAACACTCTTAGAATCACCACCATTATCATCATCACAATTTATGTATCAGGGCTGGCCAAGATTGAAAGTGGGATTTCTATTTACTCCTTTCCCTCAAATGGCAAGCTGGAAGGGGCCCCAAAGGCCATCTAGTCCAACCGTCTGGCAGACAGGAAGAATGCAACTGAAACCCTCCTGAAAATAATAGTAATAATAAACATACATAGACACACACAGTTTAGGTTCCAAGGCTGGCAAAGACCAAAGTAGGATTATTATTTACCCCTTTCCCCAAAAAATCAGCAATAAAGGTTGCACTAGTCACACATTTTTGGAAAGGAACTGTAACAGGTCTGGGCCAACTTGGGCCTCCCTTCAGGTGTTTTGGACAGCAACTCCCCTAATTCCTAACATCCTCAGGCCCCTTCCTTTCCCCCCTCAACCAGAGTCCAAAACACCTGACGGAAGGCCCAAGTTGGCCCAGGCCTGGTGTAAAGCCTGGCATGGATCATTTATTTTCCATGGTTTCATTTCCCAATGTCCATTCTTTGATTTTAGCAGCACCAGATTGTGGTCAGAGAAGACCCTGGGTAGTATATCCACCTGAAGCGGCTGAGGGGGAAAAGGAAGGGGCCTGAGGCTGTTAGGAATGGTGGGAGTTGCAGTTCAAAAGATCTGGAGGGCCCAAGTTGGCCCAGGCCTGAACTATAGCGTTGGAAGGGACCCTAGAGGTCATCTAGTCCAACCCTCATGGCATGCAAAAAAAAACGCCACAACTAAAACTCAGGTCATAGAATCATAGAGTTGGAAGAGACCTCATGGGCCATCCAGTCCAACCCCAATCTGCCAAGAAGCAGGAATATTGCATTCAAAGCACCCCTGACAGATGGCCATCCAGCCTCTGCTTAAAAGCTTCCAAAGAAGGAGCCTCCACCACACTCCGGGGCAGAGAGTTCCACTGCTGAACGGCTCTCACAGTCAGGATGTTCTTCCTTATGTTCAGATGGAATCTCCTTTCTTGTAGTTTGAAGCCATTGTAGTTTGAAGCCAGGTTATAATAATAATAATAATAATAATAATAATAATAATAATAAATGAATAACATCCTGCTCTCCTTCTGAAAGATTTCTATCACCATCATCACCATCACAATAATAATCATCATCATCATCATTATCACTATTTCTGTGGAGCCCCCGGTGGTGCAGTGGGTTAAACCCCTGTGCCGGCAGGACTGAAGACTGACAGGTTGCAGGTTCGAATCTGGGGAGAGGTGGATGAGCTCCCTCTATCAGCTCCAGCTCCTCATGCGGGACATGAGAGAAGCCTCCCACAAGGATGATAAAAACACAATTCTCTCACACCAGAAGTGACTTGCAGTTTCTCAAGTCGCTCCTGACACGACAAAAAAAAAAAAATCTTGTGCATTTGGCCCACCCTTTGTGTTTGACTATTATTATGTTATTTTGCACTGTTTATTTTACCTTGTTACTTTTTGTATCTTGTTGTGATGCAATTTTTCTGTTGTTTTGTAATTAAATTTGCTGTATTGTATTTTTGGGCTTGGCCTCATGTTAGCCCAGTGTTTCTCAACCTGGGGGTCGGGACCCCTGGGGGGGGTCGCGAGAGGGTGTCCGAGGGGTCGCCGAAGACCATCAGAAAACACAGTATTTTCTCTTGGTCATCTGGGTTACATGTGGAAAGTTAGGTCCAATTCTATTGTTGGTGGGGTTCAGAATGCTCTTTGATTGTAGGTGAACTATAAATCCCAGCAACTACAACTCCCAAATGCCAAGGTCTATTTTCCCCAAACTCCACTAGTGTTCACATTTGGGCATATTGAGTATTTGTGCCAAATTTAGTCCTGATCCATCATTGTTTGAGTCCACAGATGTAGATGAACTACAACTCCCAAACTCAAGATCCATGCCCACCAAACCCTGGCAGTCATGGGAGTCCTGTGTGCCAAGATTGGTTCAGTTCCATCATTGGTGGAGATCAGAATGCTCTTTGATTGTAGGTGATTGTAGGTGAACTATAAATCCCAGCAAGTACAACTCTCAAATGGTAAAACCAGTCCCTCCCCCCAACTCCACTAGTATTCCTGACACGACAAAAATATATATCACTATTTCTGGATCCAAACACCAGCAGATACCAAGGTCCTGCTGTATCCAACTTCATCTCATCTGATTTTGGATTGAGAGGCGAGAATGGAAGTTGTAGTTGTAGTCTCTTAGGACTTTTCCCCCCTAACAAGTTGGTTCTTGTGGGTTTTTTCAGGCTATATGGCCATGTTCTAGAGGCATTTTCTCCTGACGTTTCGCCTGCATCTATGACAAGCATCTTTTTTTGGCCTATATGGCCATGTTCTAGAGGCATTTTCTCCTGACGTTTCGCCTGCATCTATGGCAAGCATCTTTTTTCGGGCTATATGGCCATGTTCTAGAGGCATTTTCTCCTGACGTTTCGCCTGCATCTATGGCAAGCATCTGAGGATGCTTGCCATAGATGCAGGCGAAACGTCAGGAGAAATGCCTCTAGAACATGGCCATATAGCCCAAAAAAACCCACAAGAACCGAGTGATTCCAGCCATGAAAGCCTTCGACAATACATAAAAGCTTTACGCTGGGGGAGCAGTGGAACTCTCTGCCCCGGAGTGTGGTGGAGGCTCCTTCTTTGGAAGCTTTGAAACAGAGGCTGGATGGCCATCTGTCGGGGGTGCTTTGAATGCAAATTCCTGCTTCTTGGCAGAATGGGGTTGGACTGGATCGCCCATGAGGTCTCTTCCAACTCTTCTATGATTCTATAACACTTCCAATGCTGGGCGGGCTAAGAGAGGGGATGATGGGCCTTGTAGTAGTAAAAGGAGACATTCCAGCTGATGACACTTATGAGGAATGATGGGAAGGAGAGTCCCTTGCGCCTTGTCCGAAGGGAAACTTTGTCCCCGACTTTGGCCGGGAGCAGAAGGGTGGGCAGCAGCAGGAGTGGGGATGCTGGGCTTGGGAGTGAGTGGGGTGTGCTTACCGGCGAGGAGGGCGAGGGGCAGGAGGAGCCAGTAGAGGGCCCGGCAGAAGAGGCCCCGCTCCATACCGCCTTCAGGAGGAGAAGGTCCCAAGGAGAAGGAGGAGAGGAGGAAGGGCAGGAGGAGGAGGAAGAGGCGCCCAGGATCTCCGCCGGAAAGCCATCGCCTTTCCCCGCGAGGAAGGAGAAAGAAGAGCCCTTCGGAGCCCTGCCGCACGTGCCTCGGTCCGGCGCTTCTGCGTCAAACGGGAAGAAGAGGAGGAGGAGGAAGAAGAGAAGGAGGAGGAGGAGGAGGAGAAGCCAAACCCCCGTCGCCGCCCCTCTGGGAAGAAGAGGAGGAAAAGGAGGGCACCAGCACCGCCTCTCGCCACCAAGCCAACAGGGACTGCCACTCCCCACATCCCCCCTCGCCCCTTCTCTTTGGGAGGACTACAAGTCCCATTATCCACCTGCCTTGGCGCATTTCCCCCACTTTGGGGGGTTGTATGTTCCATTATCCACCCGCCCTGGACAATATCCACCTCTTGAGGGACTACAAATCCCATTTGGATGATATCCACCACTTGGGGGACTCTAAATCCCATTATCCACACACCCCTCGCTGGCACCAGAACTTGGGGTATTCCCTGTTCTTTGGTCAGGGACTACATGTTCCATTCTCCATCAGCTTCGGCTGCCACACTTCTTGGGGGACTCTAAATCCCATTATCCACACACCCCTCGCTGGCACCAGAACTTGGGGTATTCCCTGTTCTTTGGTCAGGGACTACATGTTCCATTCTCCATCAGCTTCGGCTGCCACACTTCTTGGGGGACTCTAAATCCCATTATCCACGCACCCCTCGCTGGCACCAGAACTTGGGGTATTCCCTGTTCTTTGGTCAGGGACTACATGTCCCATTCTCCATCAGCTTTGGCTGCCACACTTCTTGGGGGACTCTAAATCCCATTATCCACACACCCCTCGCTGGCACCAGAACTTGGGGTATTCCGTGTTCTTTGGTCAGGGACTACATGTTCCATTATCCATCAGCTTCGGCTGCCGCACTTCTTGGGGGACTCTAACTCCCATTATCCACACACCCCTCGCAGGCACCAGAACTTAGGATATTCCCTGTTCTTTGGTCAGGGACTACAAGTCCCATTCTCCATCAGCTTCGGCTGCCAACAGAGTTTAGAACCATTACTAAACTCTGGGACATATAAGCCTCATTATCCATAAGATCTGCTAGCAACCAAGCTTGATAAAGTTCCCACTCTTTTGGCAGACTACAAGCCCCATTATCCACCAGCCCTAGCTGGCACCAGCTCTTCTCCTCTTGTCTTGCATAGCTACCTGCTCCTCAAGAGATTACAAATCCCATAATCCCCCAACCCTAGTTTATTTACGGCATATGGGAGTGATGGGTTAACCAGTGATAGGGATTGTGGGCCCTTTTGACCAATCCAGATTATATTTTTTTTGTTGTGTCAGGAGTGACTTGAGAAACTGCAAGTCGCTTCTGGTGTGAGAGAATTGGCCGCCTGCAAGGACGTTGCCCAGGAGACGGCCGGATGATTTGATATTTTTATCATTCTTGTGGGAGGCTTCTCTCATGAGGAGCTGGAGCTGATAGAGGGAGCTCATCCGCCTCTCCCCGGATTCGAACCTGCGACCTGTCGGTCTTCAGTCCTCCAGGCACAGGGGTTTAACCCACTGCACCACCGGGGGCTCCACCAATCCAGATGAAAGTCTGCAAAAAAAAGTCCTCGGTCAAGTTGCAAAAGGATGCATCTGCACTGCAGAATTAATGCAGTTTCATAACGGTTTTAACAGCCACAGCTCAGTGCAATGGCATCCTGGGATTTGTAGTTACGTGAAGCCCCAGCCCTGTGATATTGGAAGCAAAGGCTCAAGACCTTGCAAAACTACAGCTCCCAAGACCTTGCAAAATTACAACTCCCATTATTGCATAGCATTGAGCTGCAGCAATTCAAGTGCCAAACTGCATTCATTGCACAGTGTAGATGCGCTGAAAGATGTGTCTGTTTGGCTCTGGATCGACTCCAACACTGTGGCCTGCTCAGACTTTGATTGGCATTGATTGACCGCGGAATAAATCACAATCAATTCATTAGCATAAAGTCCGCTTTGATTCCCCCCAGAGTGCTTTTGTGGTTCAAAGTAATGGCTGGGAAGGAGCCAGAACTGCATTAATTTTTTAATGCTGGCAATAGCAATGGGACATGCAATCCCTAACCCAACGTTTCTCAACCTGGGGGTCGGGACCCCTGGGAGGGGGTCCCAAGGGGGGTGTCAGAGGTCACCAAGGACTATCAGAAAATATAGTATTTTCTGTTGGTCATGGGAGTTCAGTGTGGGAAGTTTGACCCAATTCTATGGTTGGTGGGGTTCAGCCTGCTCTTTGATTGCAGGTGAACTATAAATCCCAGCATCTACAAATCCCAAATGTCAAGGTCTATTTCCCCCAAACTCCACCAGTGCTCACCTTTGGCCATATGGAGTATTTGTGCCAAGTTTGGTCCAGATCCATCATTGTTTGAGTCCACAGTGCTCTATAGATGTCGGAGAACTACAACTCCAAAACCCACCAATCCCTTCCAGTATTTTCCGTTGGTCATGGGAGTTCTGTGTGCCAAGTTTAGTACAATTCCATCGTTGATGGAGTTCAGAATGCTCTTTTATTGTAGGTGAACTATAAATCCCAGCAACTACAACTCCCAAATGACAAAATCAACCCCTCTACCAACCCCACCAGTATTCAAATTTAGGTGTATGGGGTATTTGTGCTAAATTTGGTCCAGTAAATGAGAATCCATCTGGCAGATATCAGATATTTATATTACGATTCATAACAATAGTAAAATGACAGTTATGAAGTAGCAACGAAAATAATGTTGTGGTTGCGGGTCACCACATGATGAGGAACTGTATTCAGGGGTCGTGGCATTAGGAAGGTTGAGAAACACTGCCCTAATCTATAAAATATATGTTTTGGGGGGATTGGGGGAGTTGGAGTCTAGTAATGTTTGCAAAGGCGAGAAGTGGAGAAGCTTTTTGCCTATGCAGCTTGGAAGAGTTGGCTGCTCTTTGGAGGACTGCAAGTCCCATCATCCCCCTAACTTTTTTGTTGTTCATTCGTCCAGTCGTTTCCAACTCTTCTTGACCTCATTGACCAGCCCACGCCAGAGCTCCCTGTCGGCCGTCACCACCCCCAGCTCCTTCAAGGTCAATCCAGTCACTTCAAGGATCCCATCCATCCATCTTGCCCTAAACCTGGCTGGGACGAATCTCAGATCTTTCTCTCTTTTGGGGTAAACAATTATTATTTTCCCCTATAATAAGCCTTATTTGCCCCTTTCCTATCCAGCAGGGCTGTTGTCCTAAGCAAAGAGAGGCTCAAGCTAAGTTTTGCTGTTCTCAAAGAGTTTGAGTCAAGCACATCTTCAAATGTTGTGTTACTGCCACCTAGGGACTTCTATGCAAAGTGGAAAACTTTGTTTCAAGAATGCAACTGTTTTTTTATACTCTTTACTTTATTTGTTGTTTTATATATTTTGTTATGATTTATTTTTGTTATGATTTTGTTATGATATTTTGTTATGATTTATTTTTGCTGTTTTGTGTCTAATTATGTTGTATTATTTTTGGGCCTGGCCTCATATTAGCTGCCCTGAGTCTCCTTCGGAGAGATGTTGGCGGTTTATAAATAAAGATTATTGTTGTTGTTGTTGTTGTTGTTGTTGAAGGCTTTCATGGCCGGATTCACTGGGTTGTTGTAGGTTTTTTCGGGCTATATGGCCATGTTCTAGAGGCATTCTCTCCTGACGTTTCGCCTGCATCTATGGCAAGCATCCTCAGAGGTAGTGAGGTCTGTTGGAACTAGGAAAATTGTTTTATATATCTGTGGAATGACCAGGGTGGGACAAAGGACTCTTGTCTGCTGGAGCTAGGTGTGAATGTTTCAACTGACCACCTTGATTAGCATTTGATGGCCTGGCAGTGCCTGGAGCAATCTTTTGTTGGGAGGTGATTAGATGTCCCAGATTGTTTCCTCTCTGTTGTTTTGCTGTTGTGATTTTAGAGTTTTTTTAAATACTGGTAGCCAGATTTTGTTCATTTTCATGGTTTCCTCCTTTCTGTTGAAACTGTCCACATGCTTGTGGATTTCAATGGCTTCTCTGTGTAGTTTGACATGGTGGTTGTGAGAGTGGTCCAGCATTTCTGTGTTCTGCAATAAAATGCTGTGTCCAGGTTGGTTCATCAGGTGCTCTGCTATGGCTATGTTTTAGTATCTATCTACAGCTGTGTGTCTATATATATATATATATATATATATATATATATATATATATATGCCTGCATGTCTACTATACATGTGCATATATGTATATATATGTCTGCATATATAGATAGTATATATAGACATACCTATATGTGGTTATGTGTCTAGTTGAATCTACATATTTTTGGTTGGATGTCAAACATATATAGTGTGTGTATATATGTGTATGTTGTACATTGTGTGTATATATGTGTATGTTATACATTGTGTGTATATCTTTGTTTGTTGTACATAGTGTGTGCATGCGCATTTATATGTGTATGTTGTACATAGTGTGCGTGTATGTATGTGTTGTACATAGTGTGTGTGTGTGCATATACATATACATTTATTTATTTATTTACAACATTTATATGCTGCCTTTCTCACCCCGAAGGGGACTCAGAGAGGCTTACAAGAAATATATACATAAGGTAAAGGTAAAGGTTTTCCCCTGACATTAAGTCTAGTCATGTCCGACTCTGGGGTGTGGTGCTCATCTCCATTTCTAGGCCAAAGAGCTGGCGTTGTCCGCAGACACCTCCAAGGTCATATGGCCGGCATGACTGCATGGAGTGCCATTACCTTCCCGCTGGAGCGGTACCTATTGACCTACTCACATTTGCATGTTTTCGAACTGCTAGGTTGGCAGAAACTGGGGCTGACAGCGGAAGCTCACGTGGCTTCCTGGATTCGAACCTGCGACCTTTCGGTCAGCATGGTCAGCAGTTTAACCCACTGTGCCACTGGGGGGGGCCTCTTATATGTATATTATATAAAAACTATATACATACAATATATTATATTATTAGCAAAGTACAATATCAGTATTATATATTACTATATTGTACTATACCATTATATTGTAATATTATATATAATATTAAACATATAATATCATTTTATTTATTTATTTACTTTATTTATATACCGCTTTTCTCAGCCCTCAGGCGACTCAAAGCGGTGAACAACATTGATACAAAACATCACAAGACAAGTATAGGGCAATTAAAAACAATTGTAACATAAATCATTAAACATCAGTATAACAATCATTAGCGCCTCAACAGTAAAATCAGAATCCAGTCTCATCATCCATTATTCCGTATTCCTATGTTCAATTACACTGATTTAATCAAATGCTTGTTCGAACAGCCAGGTCTTCACTTTCCTCCGAAACGCCAGCAGGGAGGGGGCCGATCTGATATCTGCAGGCAGGGCGTTCCACAGCCGAGGGGTCACCACTGAGAAGGCCCTGTCTCTCGTCCCCGCCAAGCGCCCCTGTGATGCAAGCAGGACAGAGAGCAGGGCCTCCCCAGATGATCTTAGTGTCCTAGTCAGTTCATAGGAGGAGATGCGTTCAGATATTATTATTATTATTATTAGTGTTGTTGTTGTTCATTCGTTCAGTCGTCCCCGAGTCTTCGTGACCTCATGGACCAGCCCACGCCAGAGCTCCCTGTCGGCTGTCACCACCCCCAGCTCCTTCAAGGTCAGTCCAGTCACTTCAAGGATGCCATCCATCCATCTTGCCCTTGGTCGGCCCCTCTTCCTTTTACCTTCCACTTTTCCCAGCATCATTGTCTTCTCTAGGCTTTGCTGTCTCCTCATGATGTGGCCAAAGTACTTCAACTTTGTCTCTAGTATCCTTCCCTCCAGTGAGCAGTCGGGCTTTATTTCCTGGAGGATGGACTGGTTGGATCTTCTCGCAGTCCAAGGCACTCTCAGCACTTTCCTCCAACACCACAGCTCAAAAGCATCGATCTTCCTTCGCTCAGCCTTCCCTAAGGTCCAGCTCTCACATCCGTAGGTTACTACAGGGAATACCATGGCTTTGACAAGGGATCTTTGTTGCCAGTGTGATGTCTCTACTCTTCACTATTTTATCGAGATTGGACATTGCTCTCCTCCCAAGAAGTAATCGCCTTCTGATTTCCTGGCCACAGTCTGCATCTGCAGTAATCTTTGCACCTAGAAATACAAAGTCTGTCACGGCCTCCACGTTTTCTCCCTCTATTTCCCAGTTGTCAATCATTCTTGTTGCCATAATCTTGGTTTTTTTTTATGTTTAGCTGCAACCCAGCTTTTGCGCTTTCTTCTTTCACCTTGATTAGAAGGCTCCTCAGCTCCTCCTCGCTTTCGGCCATCAGAGTGGTGTCATCTGCATATCTGAGGTTGTTAATGTTTCTTCCAGCAATTTTCACCCCAGCTTTGCATTCATCCAGCCCCGCACATCGCATGATGTGTTCTGCATACACGTTAAAAAGGTTGGGTGAGAGGATGCAGCCTTGCCGTACGCCTTTCCCAATCTTGAACCAGTCTGTTGTTCCGTGGTCAGTATTATTATTAGTATTATATTGTATTGAATATATATAAACACATACACCTTATGCATCTAGCCTGAAGTTCATTTTATATTCAGAATTTTAATACACTAATTTTCTACATGAAACCAAGGCCCCTTCCACACAGCTGTATCAAATCCACATTAACCTGGATTATATGGCAGTGTTGACTCCGATAATCCAGTTCAAAGCAGATATTGTGGATGATCTGCATTGTTATTCTGAGTTAAAGAGCTGTATGGAAGGGCCTCTTAGGTATGTGCACCGAACCCACAGGAAGCCAAAGGTGACACTCTCTCAGCCATCCATTCAGCTTGGAAGTATTTTAGAAAATCCCGGATGTGGGGCGCGGCGCCTTTAAGAGGCGGGCGGCTTCCAACGCGGGAAAAAAAAGGCGAGGCTTCGAGCAGAGCGCGGGAAAGCCGGCAGACTAGAACGTTGAGGAGGACGAGTGCGTCATCGGGAAGAGGCTGAGCGTTCCTATTGGTCGGGACGCGTCCGGATAGAACGTTGGGGACACGAGAGTTCCATCGGGGAGAAAGAGGGTCTCCCTCCACGTGGTCGGGATGGCGCAGCTCCAAGTGACAGATTTCTTCCAGCAGAGCAAGCGGGGTGCCTCCGGGCGCCGCAAGGGAAGCCAGCCCGAGACCCCGCTGGCCTCGCCCTGGACCCCCGCAGGCAGCAGGAAGCGGGCCAGGACCGAGCCCGGGGGCAGGGGCCCGGCCTCCGCCAAGAAGAGGCTCCTCATGGCGCCCCCGGAAGAGGAGCAACCCCAGCAGGCGCCGGTGAGGCCACATGCAGAGTGTAGGCAGTTTCACACCGCTTTCATGGCTTTCATGGCACCTGGGAGTTGTAGTTTCAGGAGGGCTGCGGCCTTCTCGGCCAAAGAGGGCTGATGATCCCTCACCAAACTATGTTATTATTACTATTATTATTATGCCTCAGCATTATTATCATGTTTCACCAAACTTATATTATTATTCTGCCTCACCAAACGATTATTATTATTATTATTATTATTATTATTATTATTATTCGATCTTAGCAAGCTATTATACTATAATAATAACTTCTATATATATCCCACTGCCTCACCTAACTATTGTTATTATGTTTCACCAAACTATTATATTATTATTATGTCTCGCCAAACTATTATTGTTCTTATGTTTCACCAAACTATTATTATTATTACAATGTCTCACCAAACATATTATTATTGGTATTATTATTAGGTTTCGCCAAACATTATTATTATTAGTAGTATTATGTTTCACCAAACTATTATTATTATTACAATGTCTCACCAAACATATTATTATTGGTATTATTATTAGGTTTCGCCAAAATATATTATTATTAGTATTACTATGTCTCACCAAACTATTGTTATTATGTTTCACCAAACTATTATTATTATTATTATTATTATTATTATTATTATTATTATGTCTCACCAAACTTATTATTATTATTGTATTATTATGTCTCACCAAACTTATTATTATTGGGATTATTATTAGGTTCAACAAAACTTTATTATCTTTATTATTCTTATTATTATGTCTCACCAAACTTATTAGATTTCGCCAAACATCATCATCATCATCATCATTATTATTAATGTGTTATTATGTCTCACCAAACTTTTATTATTATTGAGATTTTTATTAGGTTTAACCAAACTTTATTATTCGTATTATTCTTATTATTATGTCTCACCAAACTTATTATTAGGTTTCACCAAAATATACTATTATTATTATTATTTTTATTATTATTATTCCTCACCAAATTATTATTCCGCCAAATTAAATTATTATTATAATTTTCATGACTCCTCAAACTGCTATTACGTTTCACAAAACTATTATATTATTACCATGCCTCACCAAACTATTATTATTATTATTATTATTATTATTATTATTATTATTATGGAGACTCCGTGGCTCACGATACTGGAAACTTGTAAGAAACTCAAGGCTTATAGTCATGAGAGAGTTTTCTAGAGAGAATTCCTCTCTAGGTCCTCCGATGCCATTCTGTGTGCAGCCTCAACCAGGTTGACTATAGAATCATGCTGGAAGACCTAGGAATTCCCAGGGAAATGTTCTCTTTGGGTTAATGTTCTTTGGAGTGAACCTTCTGCAGATGTTTGTGACGCAGTATTTCTCTTCCAGGCCCCCGGACCTTGCATTGCTCCGCCTCTTGGACCTCTCAGCCCTTCGGGTTTGGATAAGAAGGCAAAGGATTTGACCAATGTAATTCTTTCGCCAGGCCTGAAACCAGAGACGGAAGCAGAGGATTGTACACCAGCAGAAAAGGTGAGCCTTTTAGGAAGTTGTGGAAGAAGCCATTGTTGGGGATGACAACACCCAGAATCCCCCAGTTGCCACACTCCCTTTGCTTTGTATTGCACCTGAGAGCTCCCATCTCCAAAATCTTATGGTACCTCTTTGGGTACCTACTTACTGTTATTACTTATTTATGTTTGTTTATGCCCCGTTTTTTCTCTCCACAATAAGATTGCAATATCCGTCAGACCCCCAAATAGTCCATACAGGTCGCCAAGAATGTGGCACCTTTGCTTCCCAAGGGTTCGGTGCACAAAACTGCCCGGAATGATTGCAGTTGTTGTGTATAAAGTTACCTTTGGGTTCTGTTTACAAGGCAAGGTGTCCAGGATATGAAAACGCAATTTCCTTTTTTAGACTTGGATCTAATCTGTAAGATACCTTGTTATATGTATCCAAATATTTCCAGATCTAAAATACAAAACACATCTGGTCCAGAGGTGACCACAGAATGGTATTGAAGGACCTAGAGATTGCATTGGAGGTATTGAATTCCATTGGAAGATCTAGATATTGCATTGGGGGACTTACAGATTGCATTGGAGTATAGAATAGCATTGGAGAACTTCAGAATTGCATTGGAGGACCTACAGATTGCATTGGAGGGTATTGAATTCCATTGGAAGACCTACAGATTGCATCGGAGGGTATTGAATTCCATTGGAAGACCTACAGATTGCATCGGAGGACCTACAGATTGCACTGGATGATTACACAGGAGTATAAAATTGCATTGGAAGACGTACAGATAGCATTGGAGGACCTTCAGATTGCATTGGAGTATAGAATTGCATTGGAGAACTTCAGAATTGCATTGGAGGACCTTCAGATTGCATTGGAGGACCTTCAGACTGCATTGGAGGGTATTGAATTCCATTGGAAGACCTACAGGTTGCATTGGAGGACCTTCAGATTGCATTGGAGGGTATTGAATTCCATTGGAAGACCTTCAGATTGCATTGGAAGGTATTGAATTCCATTGGAGGACCTTCAGATTGCATTGGAGGACCTTCAGACTGCACTGGAGGGTAATGAATTCCATTGGAAGACCTTCAGATTGCATTGGAGGGTATTGAATTCCATTGGAAGACCTACAGATTGCATTGGATGATTATACAGGAGTATAGAATTGCATTGAAAGACGTACAGATTGCATTGAAAGACCTTCAGATTGCAGTGGAGTATAGAATTGCATTGGAGGACCTACAGATTGCATTGGATGATTGGAGGAAGTAGAGATTGCATAGGAGGAGTATAGAATTGCATTGGAAGACTTACAGATTGCATTGGAGAAACTAGAGAATTGCAGATTGGAGGAAGTAGAGATTGCATAGGAGGAGTATAGAATTGCATTGGAAGACTTACAGATTGCATTGGAGAAACTAGAGAATTGCATTGGAGGACCATAGAATTGCATGAGACATAGATTCCATTCGAGAACCTATAGATTGCATCGGAGTATAGAATTGCATTGGAGGACTGTATAATTGCATTGGAGGACCTACATATTGTATTGGAGTATAGAATTCCATTGGGTGATTATAGAATTGCATTGGAGAAGCACAGAATTGCATTGGAAGACCTACAGATTGTATTGGAGTATAGAATTCCATTGGGTGATTATAGAATTGCATTGGAGAAGCACAGAATTGCATTGGAAGACCTACAGATTGTATTGGAGTATAGAATTCCATTGGGTGATTATAGAATTGCATTGGAGAAGCACAGAATTGCATTGGAAGACCTACAGATTGTATTGGAGTATAGAATTCCATTGGGTGACTATAGAATTGCATTGGAGAAGCATAGAATTGCATTGGAAGACCTACAGATTGTATTGGAGTATAGAATTCCATTGGGTGATTATAGAATTGCATTGGAGAAGCACAGAATTGCATTGGAAGACCTACAGATTGTATTGGAGTATAGAATTCCATTGGGTGACTATAGAATTGCATTGGAGAAGCACAGAATTGCATTGGAAGACCTACAGATTGTATTGGAGTATAGAATTCCATTGGGTGATTATAGAATTGCATTGGAGAAGCACAGAATTGCATTGGAAGACCTACAGATTGTATTGGAGTATAGAATTCCATTGGGTGACTATAGAATTGCATTGGAGAAGCATAGAATTGCATTGGAAGACCTACAGATTGTATTGGAGTATAGAATTCCATTGGGTGACTATAGAATTGCACTGGAGAAGCACAGAATTGCATTGGAAGACCTACAGATTGTATTGGAGTATAGAATTCCATTGGGTGACTATAGAATTGCACTGGAGGACCTACAGATTGCTTTGAAGAACCCACAGATTTAATTGGAAAGCCTAGTGATTGAATTAGAGGACCTAAAGGAATGTTCTGTGTAGTAGCTTCAAGGTCCTCCAGTACACCTGGAGGAAAATAACCTTAGAGGAGCTAGAGCTTGCTAAAGAGGACATTTTTAACTGTAGTGATCAAGGTGGGAGCTCTTTTACATTGAGATTATGTTTTTCCCCAGCAGGAGACATCCAAGGAGAAGCTGACGGAGCTGAGAAGCCGCCTGGAAAAAATCCGAGCGTTGACCCAGAAAGCCCGGTCGCCAAAGGGATCCCCAGAGACAGACGTCGACCTCAAGATCCGCCTGAAACGGGTCCGGCTGCTGGAATCCAAGATCCGGGAGAGGAAGGACTCCAAACAGGGAAAAGAAGCAGATTTGGGCAAGAAAGATCCAGAACCCAGCAGAGAGAGCAGGCAAGGGTGGCTTTATGCAGGAAGATGTTTTACTGTGGATTTATTTTCCATAGTTTTGTTTATCTGTAGTCACTGATATTTGGAGTCTCCTCTTTTGGAGTGCTTCTGAATGAGGTTTGAGAACACTTGAAACTGTCATGGCTCAATGCCATAGAATTATGAGAGTAGTTTCATAATATAATATATAATACTGTATTTAATTTACTGTATATAATTCTTTTGTATGTAATATTGTATTACTATATATAATACAATATATTATATATAACATACATAATATTTTATATATATATATATAATGTATGTGATGTTATTTTAGCATATTTAATATGTATGTAGTATTGCTACACATAATGTGTATAATACATTATTCTATATAATATATGTATAATACTATATAACTATATATAGCATAATATATATAATATTTAACATAATACTATATAATATATAATATATTACTATGTTATAATATAATATATTAGTATATTCAGAGTCTCCTCTTTTGGAGTGCCTTTGGATGCGGTTTGAGACCAATTATAGCTGCCATAGCTCAATCCAAT